CTGAAACAATATGATAAAAATTAGAATGTATCCACAACGTGGGACTACTTTGAAAAAATGAGATAGAGAAGATAACTCGCCATTTTCATTGCGAGCAACACGTTTTGGTTGCTTTGTCCAACGGCTTCCACGGGTGCTAGGCTGCCCCATCAGATATTCGACTGCAAGGGATGGAGTCCAGCAGATATGATACAGAAGATTTGGAAATAACAGGCAAAGGACGAGACAAAGAAATAATGAAAGTGATGATTCTGTTGGGGTGGAGGCAAGGGGCTGACGACAATAATTGAGATGGTGAGATGTGTCTAATGGTGTTTCTACATTGGGTTAGGTGAATGTGATACTTCTGTGTATTTAGTTAGTGTGGTGCAAGATTCGGAGGAATTACAGTATGTGATATGGTAAGCGTGCCACAGTTTATTTTTTCAGTATGAAAATTCTTTTGGATTTTTTGGGTCTACTCATAGCACGGTCGATTGATTGGAATTGTATCTTGCAAGTACGAAGGATTGTTGGATTCTGGGCTGGGAGGGAGTGGCTTGATTAGTGGGGGAGATGGTGGTGTAAGCGATGACAGATTGGTGAGGATATGTTGGGATTCAATAGTGGTAACATGGTGAACGGAACATTGAAAGTGTAGTTGAAATGTACACTTGTTTAAACAATCGAAGATTAGGAGATGATTCAGCTGGGGAAGACTGGTGTAGGTCGGGAGTTTTTCCGGTCAATGATTTGAGGTAGGTAGGTAGGGTGGATTGAGTGATCTGGAGGTATGGAGGGTTGATTTGGATTCCGAAGGGGTAAAATGAAATAGAGCAAGGGTTTTGGTTGCGTCAGATTTGTATATATTAAAAGGGTAGAACATAAAAACATGGTGTTTTGGGTAGATTCGGATGTTGTGTGGGTTTTGTAAGAGGTATTGATCGAATGAAATTATAGTAGGTCGGATTAACTTTCCAATGAGTAGTGAACAACCTGTTTTTAGAGGTGGTGAGAAATTTGGTGAAGGGTGTTATGATTGATCGCGAGGTTTGAAGACTGATGTACATGGTGTCAACGTGGTGTAATGTGGCAATGAATTGGTTGAAAAGTGTTGAAGAGGGTAGGATGTTGACGTAGGGTAGGTGTGTGATACCCCAGTAAAGGTACATTGATGGGGTTAAAAAGTTGGGCTGGTGGGTGAATATTTCGAGAAGGTGAGTTGATTTTAAACAATGGTAGGGTATGGGATGGTGTTGAGCCTAGTCCGACCGGAGTTAAGTTAAAAAGTTAAGCTGGTGGGTCAAATTACAAGGGGGTGAGTTGAATTCCTAGGGAGGTATAGCTTGATCTGGGATGGTAGGGTAGGGGGTGGTATCGAGCTTAGACAGACCGGAATGAAGTTGAAAAGTTGAGCTGGTGGGCCTCTCTTTTGATGTGGTAGGGTGATATCCTAGGGTGGTGTGGCTTCATAATGGATGGTAGGATAGGGGGTGGTATTGAGCCGAGACAGACCGGACAGTCTTGAGGTGGTAGGTTGGTGTTTGAGGCGGTGAGACTATTTATCATGGTGGTATGTTATGGCGAGAGGCGGTATGATGGTTGAGCTAGACCAACCGGCAGGTCTGTCTTGATGTGGTGTGGGGGTGTGTTGAGGTGGTGGATCGATTTACTAGGGTGGGAAGGGTTGTTGAATGGGGGTATGGTATGTTCCTTTAGTGAACGATGCCGAGTGAGCCTCCCTTAAGGAAAAGTTTGACTTAGCCATTTTGAGATTACACAAGAGGCTTCTCAAGATGGTGGATCATCTTGGCAGGGGGGATCGAACCCCATTTGGTCATACGAGGCTCAGTATGACCCTATGCTATTCAGTATGAACGTGCACGTGCAGGTGTTGTTTGGACAGCAACACAACAAAAGTTGTTGCAGCCCCAAAAAACAGTCAGAAAAACCGCAATGCAGGCACAGCGCAGCATGCAACACCTGTGTTGCTGGCCCAGGGTTGATTCATCTGTGGCAAGTTTCCAGAAGCAGGGACCAGGATGATTTGATACTCAAACCCGTATCATGAACCTCATCTTATGTAAGCATGGCCAAAATGTGGTTCAGAAAGGTGGCCAAGACCTCATGTATATATTGGACAAAGTCAAGTGACAAAGACCTAAGACAAAAATGGTGCGTAAACTACCAATTGTTCCCCTCATCATAGTTGGGTGACAATGAGTTGAAATAATTATGGGTTCCAAAACATGAAAGAGGATGGGCTACATATCATCCATGTGATGACAGTGCACTTGTGCCCTGATCCTGGAAACATTCATGATCTTGAGTTGTCTTTTGTTGCCATTCAACCAAAACTGTTGTTAGCTACCTTTATGTTATGTTGGAACCGATTATCTCTCTGGATTGTTTTAGAATTTTCCTCAACTTATATATACAATGAAGAGTCAATGCATTTCTTGATGTGTGCAAATGATTTTGACCCAGATATGATATTTCAAAATCAAACTCTAAATATTAATCCTCAAAACTTGTAAAGAGATGAAATATGGCAGTTATGACCAAGTTATCCAAAGAAGTGGATGCCCGAAGATACCAAAAGCAACCACATTTGCAGTGAGGGATGTGTGCAATGTTAGAAAGGAAGTTTGATTCCTGGATTTCAGTGACCCTCCCACATCTATGGGATTGGAGTGTTTACATCGAATGGAGTGAAAAGGTCCATCATACCCCCTTGATGAGGTGTGAAGTAAATTGATAAGGGTGTGTGAAGATTCTTCTTTTCACACGTAATAGAATTTTTCACATCAATAGGCGGTTGTGAAATGGTTATAAGTGAAAAAGATGCTTCACACACTTTCAACTTATTTGGAGATGTGTGAAGGATAAATTCACTATTGTAGGTGTGAATGAATAGGTGAATTTGTGTTTAAGACATGGAGAGGAGTGACAGTATCCTTCACACAACCCCAAACCAGTGTGAAGAGGTGTGAAGTATGTTTTCACACCTCTGAAAGTGAATATCATGCTTCAATCTCTCCACACTGATTTGAGGATGTGTGAAGGATAATTTACCTATTGTAGATGTGAATGGATAGGTGAATTTGTGTTTAGCACATGGAGAGGAGTGAAATT